GGGGGGAGGGGTGTGTGGTGGTTGTGCGGGGTTGGTGCAATTTTTCTTTTGCTCATGGTGGTTGGCTGTATACGATAGTAACATGGGTTTATATAAGAAAATAATGACTGCACATTTTGGTCATTATGTGGTAGTCACAAATTGCCAAGAGGCTACATAATCTTATATCCAGTGTTGTGTTGTATAGAAAAACAATTAGAAAGCCTTGTTCTGGAAACTGTTTTGAAGGTCAGAGAACATCTTTAAGGACAGTCTTGTAAGGAAAAGATATCTAATAAAGCAAATCAAACAGATTTTGTCAAAACATGTTCTGAGGAGAGCATAAACTGCCTTATCATCTATAAAACTAGATTAGAGGAGAATTTGGGAGTAATTATTTCAAAATGTCAGCAATGACTCATCATAAATTCATAGTAGCTTGCCTTTAAGCTTGATAAACAACTCTGAAACAATTTATCCTGGTTGAAATATGACAACTTATATGTGGTGATGACAGGATTTTGTTTTATGTTGAAATAAATTTTCTTATCAGTTGCTCGGATCTCAATAATTCTCCAAGATAACAAAGTACAACAACAAATTCAATCATCATATTTACTGAAATTTTGGAAAATGCCTGTTAGTTCATCAGTAGATTACAACAGCAGACTGCAAATTCTTTTGACTAAGAAATTGGATTCTTACGTTGACATGTGCTTTGTGGCCTTTGAAAAAGAGATCTTTCATGCAATGCAAAAATCAGTTCTCTCCGACAAGAATATGACCATCTCATTTAACTGATTTAATTTTTCAGATAATTCAGCTGGTAAAACAACTTGACTATTATATGCTGAACTTAATTTTGAAAACTGAATTCTCTTGTTTTAACTAGATATCTCTTTCTTCTTATTGCAGATAGAAGATAATAATGAAGTTGAGAAAATATCATCTGAAGAAGAGCGCTACTCTTTTGTAGAGAAACTTACTGAGGTGAGTTTGGTCACCTGTTTGATAGGCTCACTCACATGGTATTCTGCATTGGGTTTTAATCATCCTTTTCTGTTCTGAAGGTGCAAGAGTGGTTGTATACTGATGGTGAGGATGCTTCATCAGGTGAATTCAAAGAACGACTAGAGTTACTTAAAGCCATTGGTGACCCAATATTTTTCAGGTAGATCCCAGTTTAACTTTGAAGTAATAAATAATATGGTGGTAATGATTTATGCAAATATGAAGTAACTAATATTTGATATATTTATCTAGATTAAACGAGTTGACTGCACGACCACTTGCTTGTGAACATGCTCAGTTGTACCTTGGTGAGCTGCAAAAGGTAATTTACCATATGATTTCACTTGTTCAGATCTACTGAGCCTGCCTATACATGAAAAGTGGTGATCTTATCACTTCTATTCTTGGACACCCAGGCCCATGGAGAAAAACTGTTGTGGTGCAAGGCTTTAGTTGTCCTGTATGACTACAAATACTGCCCTAGTTTGATATTCAGAACAGGTCCCTGTGAATTTCCACGACTGATTTGGTTACATAGACATCAATATCATTTTTAAAATGGTAAATGAGGAGATTTTGATTTAACTGTGAAACATCTAGAAGTGCAAAATATGAAGTTAGATTTGTGTGCTGGTTCATGCTTGATGCCCTTGTCTCTGCTAAATATCCTTGTTTATGCTAAAGTATGTAAGTTCTCAGTTTAGACAACTACTCATTATGGTTTAGAACTTGTTTAAATGGTATATTGGTTACATAGACATCAATATCATTTTTAAAATGGTAAATGAGGAGATTTTGATTTAACTGTGAAACATCTAGAAGTGCAAAGTATGAAGTTAGATTTGTGTGCTGGTTCATGCTTGATGCCCTTGTCTCTGCTAAATATCCTTGTTTATGCTAAAGTATGTAAGTTCTCAGTTTAGACAACTACTCATTGTGGTTTAGAACTTGTTTAAATGGTATACGAGGCCTTAAGTTTGCTTTTTCTCCCATGCAATTTTTTTTCCCCTTGGGAGATGTTATCATCTATTATTAAGTTGTTATGTCTGCATATAGGTTTTCTGCGAGGATATTTGCTTTAGTTTTTGAATTGATTTCATGCAACAATCATGCTTACTTTCAGAAATTTATCTAGACTTTCACAAAGCATATTCATGGGCAAGCTTTTAAATCATGAGTTTTCAGTTTTTCATTCCTCTTTTTTGATGATATGGGAAATTGATATATGCTTATATAAAGAAACTATGGTTTAATTTTGTTTATCGGTTTTGGTAGAGAGGTTTTGACAGTCATTTATTGATATATAGTCTTGTCAACATTGTGTAGGTAACTGATTACTGTATACACTTTAATTAATTTTGTTCTCTGGATGTTTACAGATCGTAAATAACTGGGAAACAAATAAACCATGGCTTCCCAAAACTAGAATCGAGGAGGTATGCTATTAATTGTATGACTCTGATTGATCCTGTTATGTGTTTTTCTGGTAAGCTATTATCATGCTTAATAAGTTGTAACCATAACTGCACTGAAATTCACTGTCAGGTACTGAGCGAAGCGGAAAAACTTAAAAATTGGTTGGTAGAGGTGGAGGAACTACAAAAGAAGTAATTTTTTGAACTCTAATAAATGGATGAGCCTTATCTTTTTCTTCTAAAATATGTTACCTTATTTCTACTATTGACTGAATCATATTCTATATTATTGGTCAACGAATTACAAACTTGTACTTTAGATTTGTGGCCCTAGAAGAGATTAAGGCACAAGAAGATATTTCAGAAACAATTAGATGTTTGTGCTCACTTAAAGTCTTTTTTTAATTTTTTTCTGGCTCCAGGGCATCCCTCCTCAGCACACCAATCTTCACGTCAGATGAAGTCTACCAGAAAGTGTCCAAGCTTCAGGATAAGGTAAGAGCGGTCTCTGACCTGTGCGCATAACTAACATTAGATTACTCTCTTTTTTTTTTTCTTTTTTTTTCTACTTTGACATATGAAAGATCCTTTGTGCTTCTAGGTAGCAAGCGTCAATAGGATTCCGAAGCCAAAACCAAAACCTGAGAAGCCTCCAAAGGAAGAACCAGCCAACCATGATAACAGCACAAGCACCTCCAACTCCACTTCTGGTGAGCAAACATCTGAGACAGGGCACGCCACGCAAGATTCATCCAGCACAACAGCTGATCAAGAAAATGTGGTCCATGCGGAGTTGTGATATCTTCATCTAGTTACCAGCTGTAAGTCTAGATGGATAGCTGTTGACTTCCGGGGGAATATACCATAACTTCAGAGACATACGGTTGATTCCAAAGTGGTGGGTTCTGCTGCGAGCAATTTTGTTAGTCTATGCGCCGTCAGCGTTGCATCCAAGAGTTATGAGCCATCGTTAAGAGTCTCACATATGCAATTACTTGGATACCATGTTCTTTCATTTGGTCATGCTTCAATGGCTGCAAAAGCGCAGGGGCCTTTACATTTGATTTATTATGTTGATTAACCCCACTAATCAGGGGGTATCCTGTACCTTAAATCATCAAGCACGCTCTAATTTTGTACTAATTTTGTTGGAGATAACAGCTTGCAAATTTCTCATTTTTTTAACTCTATAGAGTGTAAATGACGATGATGCCATCGCGTAATAACAACGGTTTCTTCGCCGTTGCCGCCGCCGCCATAGTAGTGGAGATTGCGATATTCCCCTTTGCACGCTGGGGCTATGGTGGCGCCGCCCTGACGAACACGAACTTCTTCCCGTCGCTCTGTCTCCGGCCGATCATCAGGTCCCGGAGACGCCACCGCAGCGACGACCCGGTGGAGGCGCTCTTCTTGCACCGGTCAGGCGCCCACACGCAGTACTCTCCGACAGCCTTCGGCTCCTCCGACGTCGAAGCCGACCGTGCTTCCCTCTCCTCGGTCAGGAGCCATCGGAAGCGTAATTTGGTCGGCTATATCGTTGGCTTCCGCTGCCGCTTCTGTCTCCTCCGCGCCGGAGGAGGTCGCGGTTGATGACGGGGTAAGCGGGGACGATCCGGCCGCCAGAAAATATCTCGTCGGCGATGACCGAGGGGGAGGCGTCCGGGTCCCTCACCACGCATGCGAACTCGAAGTCCTCGCCGGAGTCGTCGTCGGCGTCGTCCTCATCCGCCGCCTCTAGGAACTCGATGTGACGCGGAGGATCATGGTGGATGATGAAGCTACAGTCATCGACCGCCGGGACGTCCTCGTCGGCGGAGGCGGCGCTGCCACCGAATCTGAGGCAGGCCGCGAGGGTCCGGGCGTTGAGTCGTCATCTCTCTTCTTTCGCTGTGTTGTTAGCTTCGTCGATGGGGTTTCGATGGGAAGGTCGGCGTTTATAAAGACCGATGGGTGTATGTGTGGACTGGAGCGAATCTGACATGAGCGCCGACGATAAAAGAAACGCGCGAAGGCGTTTGAATTGAGGGCGACCGGCATATGTTGACCATAGCGTCCGTCGTCTCGTTGCTCGTACAGGCAGTAGTAAGCGTTTCAATTGGTCGCGAGCTCTCGCCCACGTGCAAAGCTTCTAGATCGTCAACGCAGTGCCCTTTGGTGGGGCCATCCACGTGGGATTTCTATGCGGATTCTGGATCGCCGTCCGTTTCAGATGCTTACGTCCTTGTGCGGGCGGGCGCGGTTTTCCGCGTTCGGGCCAAGTTCCCATTTCGCGAATGGTGGGCGCGCAGGAGATTAGACTGAGATTACCGTCTGTCTTGGCCCAAAATATCTTGGGCCATAGAGCTTGCGTAGGCCCAGTTCCATCGAATGAGGCCCACCCGACGGGCCGAAACGCTTGCCTCCGCCTGACCCATAAAAGATCGGGCACGATCACCGATAGTGAGCGTACCGTCAACCAGTCGGATGACAAAATAGGGCCGATTTTTTTTTCGGGGCTCAGAGCCTTCAATAGCCACGTCTTATTCTCACCTCCGGTCACTGGAATCTTGTAGATGTGATGGACCATCTGACGTGTTGTGAATCATAATGCATCTCTACTGCCGTCGTCGCACGACGGTACCGTCTTCGATCCAATGCTCTAAGCTTCTGCGACTGCCCCTTGGCTCCCTCCTAGCTCGTGCTATCACCCTTTGCCACCGCCTGCGTCTTCCAATGCACCGTTGTATCATGTCCTATCATTTCGCATCCCCTCAAATGGCGCTGTGCGTACTCCTCCCATGTCGAGAAGCTGGTTACGCCCTTCATCTCTTCTCATGGGTGGGCCTACGAATTAAACGCATCATATCTAAATCAATATGGGGCAACATAGTGTACTAATTAAACATAGGAGATCAAAACAAGATGGCAATGTACTAATTGAGTGCATGAGATTTAAATCAGGATGGGGCTACTACGAGTACAACGCATGTGATTTAAGCCTAGATGGCTCAATATGCGATTACCCAATAATCATGATTGAGCCGGCCCGATATGCATAGAGTGGGTAGGAGTACCCTCGTGTGAGTTTACCGCCCACCAGTCTGATGATAAAGTGGGCCAAAAAAAAAAATTTCGGTCTAAAACTCTTCAATTTTCAGTTCCTTATTCTCACTATGGTGACCAGACTCTACGGACATATTTATATGGGCCTATCATTTCAAACCGTCCCACCGGACCCGGCCTTACACGTAACCATTAGGAATCGACACCTCCGGTCAGCTTACTAGGTCCCAGTCCGATGACAAAGTGATGCAAAAATAATTATTTTAGCATCAAATCCTTCAAGGTGGTCATTCTTATTCTCACCGGAAGTGATCAGAATCTTACTTTTTTCGGAGGGCCGGTTGCTTACGCCACTCCTAAAGCATCGAGTCATTCGCCTCTTCGTTGCCATCGTCCTCTCTGTGCCGCACCGGCTCTCCACGCCTATTGCCAGCTGCTCCCGTGCGACCTCTCCGAGTCCCTTCAATCTCTCAATACCCGAATACAATGCGCATGTCGACATCACTCATCGCAAGGGGGAACTTGACCTCCACCTTTTCTGTCACCTTTCACCGCCTATGTCATCCGCTGAATGCCACTGTGTCCGTCTGTCGACCACGACCGTCATCCTGCCGGTGATGGCACCAAGCTCGGAAGACGGGAGTGCTATCGGTGCCGTGGCCCAGTGGCCTCCCGGCTAATAATCACGACCTGTCCGGGTGCAACAAATGTCAAGTACGAGTACCGTCAGTTAGACTTACCGCCTACCAATACGATGATATAAAGCCCCAAAAAAAAAATTTTGGGCCTCAAAACCATCAAGTTTTCGCTTCTTCTTCTGACCGGTGGTGATGAGAATCCACATCAAAATATGCATATGATTTTTAGAGGGCTTCTGAAAATGACACGTGTCTATCTGCGACTTGTAAAGTATTACTTGCTCCGCGTCTTTGTCGTCACCGCCCATGCCCTCGATGCCAGAGTTAGCCCCGCCGTCCTCTTCGTACGTCTCATGTCGGTCTCTGTCGTCACCCAGAGCGCCGCGGCCCGTCGCTACATTGGACCAACGAGCACGATTCTTCCCCTCCCGACGGCGGCGTCGTGCTTGGAGGATGAGACCAAAGGGCGGTGGCGCCACATCCGTGGACCATATGCTAGGTAGTAATCATTTAGTGACCACCACCGGGTTTGGGGGTTTCCTCCGAAGTCAGTTGTGCAAGCGGAGATGAGAAGCATCAACCTGTTAGTGCGTTGCCAACCCCTCTTAAACATACAATATGTATGTATATACATACTCAACTCTGGTTAAAACACCTAATGTGCCAGATGTGACTCACGTCCACCTCTCTTAGCCACCAGTTGATTTGCCTTTTTTATCCCAATATCCAGTGCAGTAATACTCTTTCTTGCAATTGCCAAGTCATAAATAAATCACCCCTTGAGTCTCCAAAAACACAAGCACATCAATTCGTAGATTTATTTATTAGCTTTATTTAAGATAAGAATGGACTTAGAAAAATCCTCCATATCACATAGATTTATTTGTTAGCTTTCGTTCCAAAGCTTAACCCTTTTTTCATCTCGACATCCGAAGTGCCACCTCAAAGTAAAACCCCACCAGACAGCACAAGAAGTTGACAACACCACGTTTCCATCGTTTTGGCCTCTCCACCGTAGGCATCGTTAAAGCTCATTATTTACACCCGCTACAGCGATAGCAGCAGCTTAGTGTCATTATACTTCCTATACTATCCTGCGGTTGTCTCGAGCACCATGCTTGTTGCTTAAACCAAAATCATGGCCCCCATTCGTTGTTATCCAACTGAAATCAAAGCCACCTTGCCAAAACCACTTTCATTTTGGAGTTCACCTGTCCAATTGACACCTCTGTTCAGCAACTGTTGTGTCAAATCAATTCTCCATACTATGTAAAGCAATCACATCTGACTGACCACCAGTCCCGGCAATCTATTTGCCAGCATGTATAGCTAGCCTCTGTTTGTTTTTACTGCAACAGCAGCGCTCACCATATCAATGGGCAATGAGTTCAGCTGATATAGAAATTTTTCAATGGGGGCGAGTTAATCCGAAGTGCAAACTTGACCACAGTAACAAACATAGAAAAATAATCCACATAAATGCAACAAAGCACATAGAGATTTCCATCAAGATGGTTACTAAAGCAGGATCCAAGCTTGATGGAGGAACCATCTGATCTACTGACCTTACTTCTGAAACTCCCACTCACTGTTATCTGCAGATGTACAAAGTTTTTGTCAGCCACATGATGTACAATTGCAGTGGTTAAATTTGATGGGGCATATCAAAACAATGGATGCTCAAAGGACAAACTTGATGAGTCTTGAGCCAGCGACTGATACAATGGAAATGGAAGGCATGATTACAGACACCTGTTTTAAGCAAAGCATGTCAATTGTAGTCAATCAATAAATCACTATTTGGATAAAATTTGTCCAATTGTGTATAGGCATTTTGCTCAACAACTCGAACTCCACCTTAATAAAGTGTGTGCTCTTTTTCTCCAATCATGCATTGATATATTACAATGTATCTTTCATCAGAAAACAAATATAAGCTTATACTAAACATATGTAAAATATATGAAAAAACTCCCACATATCCCCATGCATTTGTATTGACAACATATGCACATGTAATTTTACTGACCAAACCAGGGTATTCTGCGACCACTCACTTTCTCTAGTTTCAATAAATCTAGTGCCCCAAACAAATTCAGCCAGATATAACGAATGAAGCAAAGTTTGATTGAGCTAAACATGCAAATTAGCTGCATTAACTTACAAAGTTCAGAAAAATAGAAAACAAAATCTAAACCACCGTGCCAAAATGACATCTATGTAGCTGCATTTGTGGCGTTTGTGACATTATATGTATATGTAGTCCTATGATAGGTTATATAAGGTTGTGGTCTCCGTACATGATTCATTGCAAGGTTCATCGTACCATGACATATCGCTCAATACAAGTGGTACACACCAGTTTAATAGGGGACTGATATGCCCTACCATATCATGTGTCGGTGCATCAGTACGGTTCGGTACATACTATATCGACAGCTGATCAGTACATCGGCATGGGCTAGTAGGGCGAACCATAGTTCATTGGATATATGAAATCTCATGATCTGCATAAGCCTGAAAATGCAGTTGTATATATAATTTAAATTCGTCCTCTTTAGTGTTGTTTAATCTATTATCGTTATTATTTGGTATTAAATACATGATTCATGTTGATATGACTGAGAACTTCTACCTTTCTTATGGCATCTAACTTAAACAGCTACCTCCTACATATGCGTTATGCAATACCTTGACCATCCACATATTGCAACTGCTTTTCAGAACATCAATCCAAACATAATCACGATTTAAATAAAATACTTTAGGTTTCTCAGTGTTCTATCGAAACAGAAGCAAAATACATCGCATCGAGAGTATGAATTCTTTTTTTATTATACCTCACGTCATAATACATATACTCACATATATAATAATGTACGGTGTGAGAGTGCACGTATATATTATGATGACATGGGGTGTAAGGGTGCATTTATATATTATGATATGGGGCATAGAAATTCATAAATTTGCTATGCTTTCTAAATGTGCATATAAGTATTTTGAATTATTTCGATATAAAATTTTATCTCTTTATTTTGCATATGCTATGTTGTAGGGTTATGCTTATTAAAAAAGTCATAGGATGAGGGGTTTATCATTGAATATCTTATGCCAATGATTTTGAAATGTATACATGACATAATGTATGCTCACCCAAATAAAGTTATAAAGACTTATACTTACTGAGCGATCACTTATTATAGATCATACTTTGTATGTTAGGATACTAATACCCTATCCAAGTGATTGGATAGGAAAGTGAGTACGTGCAAGCCCATGCCAGCATAGATATGGACGATTGATCTATGAGCATTTTGTGTGTATAAATTTTGGACATGTTATGTTTATGTTTTCCTTTGATCAGATGTTGTAATAAAAAATACTATGTATAGGGAAAACCCTATTAGTAAGTTAACATATTTTAATTTTAAGATTGCCTACTTTGGACTGCACTCCTATCGATGGTAGTAATGAAAATTAAAATGCGATATCTGACTTTAGTCATGTATGTAGGGTGTTGGTAGAACTAGGAGTAGGACGTTATAACGATAACACCATCGAGTCGGCCACCATTTCCTTCGACAACGTGGTCGAATCGATCACAAAACATTCTATGATGACAACGCATCAAATCGACCACACATCCTACAATGATAATACAATCAAATCGACCACAAAGCATCTTACGATGACGATGCGATTGAATCAACCATAAATTCTTCTACAACAATGACACAATCGAATCAGCCACAAAATGTTCTACTACGACTTGACCAAATTGGTCATAAAGTGTTCTACGATAATAAAATGATCAAATCAATCACAAAGGTCATACAATGATACGATCGAATTAGACACAAAGCATCTTATGACATGACAGAATCAACCACAAAGCATCATATGATGAGGACAAGCGACACCCAATGACGACAAACACAAATCCAACAAGGACCTTCAACGATACAGATAACTTAAGTATTAGAATATCACCCGATAAGCAATTGATGTGATCGACATGTTAGATGGGACCTAACCCCATGTCAGATAGAACATCACCCAACTTAGTCTTGGAATATCACCCAACAACCCACTAAGCACATCGTGTCCCGACCCTTTTCACATGTCAAAACACGATGAGAGCATATGACACATTATTGGCATGTCACACCCATTTGATCGACATGTCAGATGGGACCTAACCCCACAAGGTAACAATGTAGCATCAACGAGAATGTTGACCCAACCACACGAGGTCAACTATGCAACACTAACGAAAGTTGACTCGACAGGGCCGTTACCATATAACTACGGCCGGAACGGTTCAACGCATGATTCTACCACCCTTTAATAGTTGTAATTGTTCGTGACATTTATCGTAGCTTCAACCCAATGCCCATCACACTAGAAAGGCTTCAATTGTTCGTGACATTATCGCTTTTAATTTCAACACTTGACCAAATGCTCTGTGTGTCTTTCCTGACTTAAGTATCAAAAGGCCTTGTCAAGCGCACGACTCCTACGTAATTTTTTGCACGATCTCAATTTGAATTCCCAAGCTACCCAATACCTCGACTTTGAGACAGATTCAAAGTGGACCTCAATTAGCTTGAAACCCAACCACATGTGACAACCAAAATCTAACATGACAAAAGATAGAATTCAAATCTAGTTTGAAATTATCATTAACATGTCTAGCATGAAGCAAGTATATATAGTCTGCTCACTTTTCCATTACGCTAAAGTTGCATTCCTTAGGCGGTGAAGCTACGATGCATGATTAACTACAAGGGTGGGTAGTATATCAGATTTTTCCAAGGGGAGTGTTTTCAGAAACTTTATGGATTTAAGGTCGCCTGCAGATGTAAGTAGCCTGGCCCCTGCATTTTTCACAATAGTAAATTTTGCTAGCCACTATATTGGAAGTCCATGGATTTTAACAGTCCATGATTCCAAATCTGAACATAATTAGGTTTAAATATGTGACAGAAACCATAATAAAAAAGAATAAAAATAAGCAGGACACTTCTTCAAATAAAATTCCTGGATATAACAAAAACACCCTGGTTTGTTCTTGAAGAGAATCAAAACTGCAACAATCTCGGGCATAATACCTGCTCAAGATTTATTTGAGTGTAACCACAAGGTTCCTGTCGATGAATTTGGCACCTCCTACCTTTCCCTGCATGGAAGAAGGCAATTTGATTACGCGTCTCTGGTCCCCAGCTTCCACCAATAGCTCTGACCCTCCCCGATACTGCATGTATCAGATAACAGCAAATCAGCATTCCAAATTGTGGCCATTACATCGATAACATGCACAAACGCAGAAAAAAGAAATAAAAGAAAATGGCATGAACCCTTTGCCTGTGCAAGGTTGCCGAATTAGCAAATCCAGGTAATGATGAATTGTTGGCTTGTGGCCTTATAAACCTTGTCAAGTCTCAACAAGAAAAGAGAAATATACTTCTATTCATAACTTAGCAGCAAAATATGACAAGTGTACTAGATAATACAACCATATAGTTCCATATTCCACATCACAATATTCGGAGAGGAAAGAAGTGAGATGAACTCCATTTTACTGGAATTCTTGCAAGATCTTGCTATTGTGCATGGCCTATTCATCAATCAGACCATCCCTAATATCCTAGGAGCCGAAATGCTCGTGACATGTGACAACTAATATCCTTAGACAAATGGTAGAACTAATGGAGTCCAGTTCCATGAGAGGATAATAAAGAAAAAACAACCATCTTTAGATTGGCAAATCAGTCTGCTTAACAAACTTGAGCTTCCTCAAAAAGGATCTAATGGATATGTTAATCAAGAATGTCCATCATACATAATCCATGAAATAACAAAGTTCTGTTATTTTTTTTAAAAGAAAATACTGTAACAAAGTTTTGTTATTGCAAACAAATATGTAAACACTAGCACAAAATATAGAATAGGGAAGTTACAGTTTTGCATGAATAAACATGCATGGGCCACAAGTTCTTATATAGAAACACCTATTAACAAATCCATAATCATATCAATCTACCAAAACAACAGGTTCATCCATATAAAACACAAGTGAGATCAAAAATGGAAATAGTTCATTAATGATATGCATTTCATGAATCTCATCAACAGTCAAATAGTAACAGACTGAAGACTAAAACGTCAACCCAAGGAGGTCACCATAGTTCGTGATGAAGAAGAAAGTCTCTTTGCTGATTGTTAGTTAAGAGAGGTGAAGAGAGACAGAACGGATGAGATTAGTACAGTGGGCGAGATAGAAGTTCATATAACCCATGCATATATTGTAGAGCAAACAAGTGTATTATCAATTAACACCGGAAGAAAAAAGAAAGGATCACCCAAGTGCATAAGGTTCTCACCAATGCAGAATATAGGGAGGAACAACATAAAAGTTGTTTCCATGACCCAAACTGTTGCAACAATCTCCGATAGTAATCAACAAAAGAAATGATAATCATGTATTGGTCAAGGTTCCATCAAGTACTATTATGCAAAAGTTTAATAGGTGCAATTTTGCAGCAGTGGCAATGAAATTCATGGCATGGAGGATTCATGCAGAAAAAGTTGACTAGAAAGAAAGCAAAAAAAAAAAAAACAACACCAATTAGTACCTAGAATGTTTTATATCCAGAAAAAGATTCTCAAGGACCAAAATCAAGTTTTATATGGAAACAGTAACATATCTCTGGGCAGCATGCAGTTAAAGTAATAAGTGCAACTAAACAAAAATTTACTGTTTATGTATGACAACATGGGTTACAAACACCTAGTCAAGATGCTATATTAAATAACACAAAAGTATACCACAAACCAGGTGCAACATACTTGGTATAATTTTATCTCAGCCTTATCAAAACCTGGCATGAAGAGGGTCACCGACTTCTGGCTAGGGTCAAAAATAACAGATGATTCAGAACAGCGGCTCGAAGTCCGAAACAGATCTTTGGTGTCTTTGTTTAAAGATTCTATCATGGCTTTCAGATCTACACATTCCTCTGAGGAGATATACGGCAGACACCCAAAGGGTAAAGGCAAGAACTTTTGGATTATCGATTCTGTCACAACTGAAGATGTTGGATCAAACCCTAATACTCCACATATGTGTGTTCCAGCTTGAATTGCACAACCCCAATAACGCAATGCAGCATCAACAGATGTTGATCTGCTTGTATCCATAACAAGGTAACAACCAAACTTTGATGAATCAGTGAATGAAACTGAGGATTTCTGCAAAGACAGAAGCAAACGGTGATGAGTAACTTCCTGACAATAACAAGAGAATGAAAATCATCATAAACTATAAAATAGATATCAAGTTGAATTAGGATAAAACCTCTAGAACCCGTTCAATGTCATCCCAAATTTCTGCACTTGTTTTGTCTTCAATGGATCCACCATATAACCTTATAGATTCATATGCTAGTTTCAATAAAGAAGGTGCTGTCAATCTTCCGATGTCTGTCTTCTCAGCCATGTTTCTCATATACTTCAAATACCATCTTCCTTTCAAGGAAAAAGTCACTTACATTCACAAACAGAAATACGTTTGAATCATAGAGGCAACACTTACCTTGCTCTATCTGTGGTACTAATCAACCTTAACGTCTCCTCGGTGCTCATGCCATCATACACGATCACATCAAACTCTCTTTGTGAGAGATTTCTCTCGCCAGGAACAAAATTCACCATCTTCTGAAGTGTCAAGGCAGAGAAAATAGAGTCCATCCCAGGAAGAACCCCGAGTTCTTCACCCACAACCTATCCTTACAAAGAATAATATCAAGTAATTCTTCTCAGAGGTAGAAATAGTGTAAAAAAATACAGATTGTACGGATTACAAGAGTGGCATTCCCACCCCTTCAAGGACTCCTTGAGTCAAATTCAGACGGGCATCTACTTTCTTCATTCGATCAAGAGGCTCCAGAAGCATCTACAATTTTTAAGAAGATTGGATGAAGCAAGACTTGTCATTTCCATAATCAAGCAACAAAACATAGAGTGGTCGAATAAACAAAATATGATCATAACACTTACCTTGCTTGTTTCCAACCTAACAACAGAAACATTATTATCACACACTCGTGGAGAACTTCCAATCCTGCAACCCATCAGCTTCTCAACAGTCGGGTCTTGAGAATGTACTAGTAAGCATGTCTTCAACCCTTCCATTGCATAATACTAGAGATTCCAGAATGATAAAGAAATGGATAATAATACATATGCACATATTTGAGTAACACAAAAAAGTACCGAGAAAATTTTCTGATCATTTCCTTTCTATATCACTGCACTCAAGGGACATGGCATTCTACTAAACAGCTAGCAGCAGTGGTTTCGGTCCCAAATTTTCCGAGGCCGTGAAATGATTGCAAGTTTCTCTAGGAACTTAGAAGCAGGTAATCAAATATCCACATAACAAGCTATTATAATAATCCTAGTAAATACTTAGCCTTTCGTTGTCTAGTTGTCTCCTAGATAATATCAAGAAAATAAGCACCTTAGCATCACCGTATGTATAGCACACAAGAACACCACATTTCAATTTCACATTTCACTTAAATATCAGTGTCCCATCCGTTGTCATCATAATTGAAAAGTGGGCGTTCTCTGTTCAAGAAGTAAACTATCTTAATTCCAAATTTTCTCTAGAAATAAGATAGCGAGGAGTAGGACGGAAAGGATTAGATCTCGAGTCCCATTCAGACTTAAGATAAGAGATAACCAGACTGCTTAGAGTGTACTGAGCCAATGTATTCATTTTACTGCCAAATCAACGGAAAAGCGGATATAGGTCAATGACCTCAGAAGGTGGGAGCGAGACGAGGGCAGAGAAGGAATGAACCTGGGCGGCAAGCACCGCGGCGGTGGTCTTTCCTGAACCGCCTTTGCCCAAAAATGTGACCAATCTCGTGGGCTTCTGGGGAGGATTGCGCGAATCCGCCACGACCGGGGCTCCACTTCTCCTGCGAGGACGGGCTCCTCTGCGTATCCGGAGGGGTTCAGCGTTAGGGTTTTGTGGGGAAATGGTCAGGGTGGAGTAGAAGGGTGGAGGAACCAACAGAGCCATGGATTATCGAGGGATCGAAACGATCCAATGAAGTTGCAAGCAGCCCAAATCTCCGGATTTCTGTCCTGTAGGGCATGGCGGCATTCCTGGCGTGGGTCTCCCATGGAAGGGATGAAGGGTAGGGATGACACGTGCTGTTGCCGTCACATTCCCAATCGAGCTAATAATATTTTATACTGTTCGAATGGATCAATATTAGCAAAGTAGATTAAAATAAGTAGATTAATATAGATTATATCAAGACTGTTCTTGCTATCTTGCAAAAATAATAATAAAATAAAATAGAACTCATACTACCAATAAATTCACAGAGGTCAAGACATGCTGAAGAAATCGATCGATCTGCTCCAATCTATGTCAAACAGCTAACCAAGCTGGATTAAGCTGCCGTGAACATTGAAACGGACGCTCGCATGCGTTTGGAAACAAACAAACAAGCTCTGAACTCGTCAACTGTTCCTCCTCGTGCAATCTCTAAAAGTCAATAAAAAGATTCGGGCGGCGGGTTGACTATTAGAAACATTAGCAATCCAATCGCCGCTATTCCAACCAATACATGAGAGCTGACTACGCCTGATCGAACTAGTTATATAATGCCACCATGAAACACGTCCCTATTTGCATCAGAATCAAAGCTTTCGTCAACTTCGTTACAGCCCAAAACTTGTTCAGGCTCGGCTCATCTACCAGCTAAAGAGGAGACTCGAACAATTCAAAGAACACACAAATAACAATTATCCTTTCTCTAAATCTCTCTTACATAGGACAGAAGTAAACACACCAAAAGACAGAGAAAGAGGACGTAGGATATTCTGACGACGTTCATATAGGAATCGTGTTCACCGCGCTAAGTGACTCAATCGGCAGTCGACGGGCTCTTCTGAGCGAAGGAAAGCAACGGGCTCCGCAGCGGCGAGCGCGGGGTGGGCACCTCCGAAAGCCGCCGCCCGTCGGCATCGTAGTATATGACGCCGGAGAAATTCAGCGGCTGGCACTTCTCCCCCATCAGTATCGTCCGGCGCCACACGCCGACGTCGCCCCTCGTGTACTCCTCGCGCTCTCCATCCGAGTCCGCGTCGCCGAAGCCGTCCACCCTCAACTGAGTGACCTTCTTCTTATGGGTGATGCTAGACCGGCGCCGCGAGAGCTTCCTGGCCGCGCGCGACATGCGCTTGGAGCAGGTTGAGACGAGGGCGGTGACCACGTGGAGCAGCCGGGTCGTCATGGCCGGGCCTCCGGAGTTACTCCCCATCACTGTTCGGATCGCTTCCTTTCGAGGTCTACGCTTCAAATGCATTTATTTATAGACATCGGAAGGGACAGAGTATTGTCAGTATAACGAAAGAAAAGAGAGATGCAGATGCAAGCATGAAGTCCAGCAAAAAACATACTTATATGGATAAAAACTGAAATGTTTGGCTAGTTTAGTTATAAATTCAGGTTAAATCTTAAAGAGTTACAATCCTCTACAACTCTTATCTTTATCTAAACTTCAATTTTAAATGTAAGACTTTTCTTATCAAGATTATCTTAACATGGAAAGTGAACGTAAGCCCATTAACTTGCAATGTCATAATAGAATAATAGTCCAAGATACTTAAATTCAAAATAATGACAATAAACTCATCTAACTATTATTTTCGATTGAAATCAATTAATTCGGGTTTTCCTTCCTCCAATCGAAGAAGTTGTTTTTGGAGAGGAGTTCTCTTATATTGTATGTGATCAAAGTCAGGAACAAATAGTGAATGATGACAAAAAGAAGAAGACGAATTGAAGGAAAAAAGTTTACATAGCTTTCATTTATGTCACTTCCGCAACCATTTCATCAGTGAATGAGAGAAGCCAAACAATGGTTGGCCATGCTCAAAGGTCAGTGCCCCCTTCTGAAGCAAGCAAGACTTGGTCCATGAGTCAGGTGACAGTGGAATTATGACTGAGGTGGACAGTTGAAGGGTCAGTTGATCTCCTCAATTGGCCATTGCTCTCTCTAAAATATGCCTGGGGTATAAGGTCAACTCACTGATGGAATCACCAAGGTCAAGGTACAAGGCTGAAGACATTGTAATTAACCTCACATCCAACACGGTATCATAGTTGACTTCAAGGGGGATGTGCAGCCATCCCAAGCATAAATAATTATTATGACTCGCATGTACCAATGATGCACGTCCAGTAGAGGATTCAGTGTACCATCCGATCATCGTAGAGAAGAAAGAAAATACAATTACTTTAATGCCCTTCATCACTCCAAATCGATATTCCCAAAACGTCAGATCCTGGCAATAAGCTTGGCATGCACAAAGAAGGAAAAAAGGAACACTGCAGGTACACGTACCAATTCCCGCAATCACTTCTCTCCTCGGCGGGTTGATCATTGCATTATTAACACAACGCATCAAACAAGTCAAAAACCCAGTATCTAAACGATCAATTTGAGGCCTGACAAGAAATTTTAAACGTCAACCAGGGAATTTGAACCTGATGGCTGGCATAAATATTACACTCGCTTAACTCATCAATAAGATGTGAGCCTCTTATTCAATTGAAAATTATGGAACATATACTCAAATTTAGAATAATGAGGTGATTTACAACAAATTTTTAGCTCACTGGACCATCTTAATTAATAACCTATTGTAGTTGCATAATCACCAACCTCATCCCTTGGTGATCGAAGGATAAGACTTCCTAGTGGCTCTGGCGTGAACCGTCTCACAACTTACATGATGTGTTGTTTCCTGATGCTATGCTGCAACTCAAGGCCTTGATTACTCTCCGACGCCACGTGGCAGTCTCTGGATCAAATTTAAGTTCCCAAGTAGGCCAGTAGTGAAGGTCCTGCTTCAGCGTCAGCACGTGCGGCTTTCCATTCAAGTGAACGGTTTTCACTCTCACGAACTCTCCATGCTCCAGTCCCTATAATTTTAAGAGAGAAGAATCTTATAAGATCTTGAATTTAATAACACTACCGTGTGTGCACAACATAAGACATACCTTTACAACCTCCAGAAAAGTTCCAAGATCTGGTGTAAGTTTCCCATTTACTTCTACTATCCATTGCAGAGCATAAAGACCATATCTATGTACTGGACTGCCATGGCACCATCTGCATTCACAAATGGTAATGTAATGCTTATGACAGATATGAGAGCTGATAACCTCCAAATAACAAGAATATGAATGTTTGTCCAGAAACAAAGATTCATATAGAATTTCTGCTGCTTCAGTACCCCCAATAACTCTAACAACAATGTAATCCTGCTGAGGGAGGGAGTCCATCAACTTAGATGGCTCCAGTGTAATGAGGTATGTGTAATCCATCTCTCGTGAGATCCAAAACATTTCCCACATAAAAGGGTATACCTAATGCACGAAACTCCCACCAATGCAGGTTTAGGGAGAGTCAACGTACATAATCTTATATTTAAATATTTTAAAAAAATTATTTCCGTGACTCGAACCCGGGTCTCCCAGATTGCAAAAGAGCAACCATCATATCATAAATAGAATATAAATATCATAGAATGTCACAAAGAACCTTCTATGAGAACATTTCCCAAGTAGAATATAAATATTTAGTTAATTAATGCTTCATGCAGACAAATATACCCTTACCATCTTATCTTTCATCAAAGGTTTATAAAAGCTTGAAAATTTCAAAAGCGTTACAAACCGGATGATCATAGAAGGTCAATAAGAGGCATGGAATTGAACCAATGTTAAACATGCATCCTAAAGCACAAGAAAAGCACAATTATAAAATTCATTTCTCCATTGTAAGCAGCATATCTTGAACGATGAGATGTAAATTTAAGTACGTATGACCTAATACCATCCTATTAAGCCTACTATCAGACATGTTATTGACTGTACTCTGTGTAACAAATAGAAAACTGGAAACAAGGAGCAAGTGATTTAAGAAAGGGACTGGTTTCTCACCTTGCCACATAAACCCCATGTCCTTCTTCAGGAAGAAACCCAAGTGCGCGAACTGCTGAATGCGGATCCTGAATTATGCATCCACACCAGTTCACCATGCGAGTTGTCCCATTACCATCCCTTATATCAGTTCCAACAACAATCTCTCTTTCTTGACCCTGTATTGACAAGAAGCTAAGTCTAAAGCAATCTTAATATTTTCTTCCAAAGCACATTATTCAGTTTACCTGGCGTAAAATAGTCATTTTTAATTCTCCATCATTGGCTTCACATTTGTCTAGTTCCCTGCAAGCATTCTCTATGTCAAGAAAGCATGTGATTGGTTCTCTATCGATTGCCAGAACCATGTCCCCTTGTTCTAATAGACCCTCGGCTTTTGATCCAGCTAAACAACCCTTAACACGCAAGACTTGTCTTCTAATTGGATCCTTTTTGGCAAGAGCCTGCAAATAAACCTCTTGATCAGTAGAGAGGGACATATAGAACAATATGATTTATACTTATTAAATCCCAATCCAATACCAGTTTTTGTAACCAGTACAGTTCTAAGAGTGGATGATAACCCATACTACCTGGTATCAACAGAAAAATAATAAAAAATACATACCAAGCAGTACTAACCTATACGATCCAATACTAGTCTTCAGTTGTCCCGGTAAACACCGAGCTTAATACCAACTGGTACAACTGAAATTTGATTCGTTGTTGCTACCAAACTAAAGAACAGGGCCAGTTTCAGAAACTCAAGCTGAGTTCCAACAGCAAAAAAAGCATGCTCAACAGTTATAAAATCAATAATCATACAAAGAAGATGCCTTTTGGTACAAAACTAACAAGTGACAAACTTAGATCTAGATCATCAATATGACAAGTATATTGATATCAATCAATCCATATAGAAGATCATAAGGTGGTCTGATAACTGACAAATATATTTCACAACAGCTAACTACAATTCTGTCTGAGACCTTCAACCCATGGATCACTTCAACAGAAACTAGTTGAACATGCTTTAATCAATAAGACAAACAAAAGGGATCTCGTGGCTCAAATTGGTATCTTACTAAAACTAGGTGTAGAGAAATTCTTAAACTTTATAATCATCCAATCCAGCCTAAAACTGTGTAACTCCAATGCACAGAAAGGAATGGCCAGAGGTTACCATTTGGGTGGATTTGAGATTATAAATATCATTATGCTCACTGCACTACTGCTACCACCAACAATGTTTCATCTCTTAGTTGTTCCAGAAATTCACAAAGATGCACAAGTCTAAATGATCTACAACAAGGTATCAAATACCAATAGCAGACCAATACTGGTCCCTGTTTGGACTAGTTTGGTCCAATACATAAGAGTCTTTTTCAATGAATTCTACCTGATTAGAGCCAAAAAAATCATTAAATATAGGTGACTTTTAATTATAAAACAACAAATAATGAACTGAAACATGTTTTTAACAAGGATTACAAACTGTATTTAAAGATACAAGCTAGATTTGCATGGATCTGACCTAAATCCATGAAAATCAAAGCCTCATCCAAGAAGATATAGACTACATCCACGAGGTCAAACCTTGATCCACGCAGGTGTAGAGATCCACAATGTTAGCTAGACCCAAAAGGATCAAGGTTTCATCCTCATGGATCTAACTTAAATACATCAAGGATAACACCTAAAATCTATCCTATGTTCATGAAATCCATTCCTAAAATTGTTGCAACAAAATGAGAAGTGAAAACTCGAATCAGATAATCAAATAAAAAATTATTGGATTTGCCTATTTTGGACAAAACCCAATTCGGATCATGGATTGAGGCTTGAATTTGTAGAAATTAAGCTTACCTTTGAGTAATCTTAATTAAATTTGGGAGAGGATTCAAGTGAGTTTGTAAGAGATTTTGGGCAAACTTCAAGCGGGATTGAGAGAGGGAGTGAAAGAGGAATGAAAGAGAAGAGAGGGGAAAAGGAGGATAAAAAAGTCCAACAAGTGTTGCAACGTCTCTCTTTGGATCCAGTAACCAGGCAGTAGGGGATGGTCTTTGTACTTGTTTCAAGGCTGTCCAGTAAGTACTGACTGGTGTGTATCAGTCCACCCGATATTAAAATGCTGATCTACACAATGCTTTGTTTTATCAGAGTCGAAGTCAAGAACCACACAACTTTGGTAATTTGTAATGACTTTTATCATACAAAAAACATAGCCTACAATAAGTGAGATTGAATGTGAGTGCCATAATCCCCCTTGATAGGACACATTTCGGTATCGTCCACGTGGACACAGTAAAGCAGACACGATGGCACGGACATGGAACCTTAAGTCTAATGTGGCGTGCAACACACGAGTATGCCTCAGACTCAGGCGGGCAGC